TCTGCCCAGGGAAATAAAATAAAAAAAATGTGCGGGCGTGCCAGTGTACTAAGTACACAAAAAAATAAAGTGGACGAAGGAAAAATACATTTTATTATAATTCTCGAAGAATTACAAAAATACAGAATCCTTGGTCAAATACACTCCACGGCCCATGAGCAAGGTGGATCTGACTTGGCGATTGTGATCTCCTGGTTCCCGGGGTCTCGGAAGACACCCGGTTAATTACTCTCGCGGGTTAAACCCGTGAGATACCTCCGATTAAGCTACGCTGGTCGTCGTCGTCTGTCTTCGCTTCTCGTTCTCCCATGCATGATGATGATGGTGATGTAGATGTGTGTGAGTGGGCGCCGGCGGTATTCGCGGCCTCGTCGGTCCGCACGCCGGTGTTGGTGACGTTGTCTTGATGTCGACTCCGCCCGCCCTGCCGTCTAGCCTCATCGGCCTTGGACGACGTATTGGTTTATATTGTTGTTGAAGACATGCATGGAATTGTGTAGCTTTGATGACCCGACGACGTAGAAATTGCATCGGAATTAGATTATAAAAGTAAAATGATCAACGCGAATAATAGCCGAGTTGGTCGTGGCTTGGAAGTTTAATATGGAGTAGCCCCAAATGAGTATGAATCTGCGAACTCATTTTGCTTGTCACCGTGTACAGTAGCATGCATGCATGTCTTGTTTTGTTGGCTTGCCACCGTATACAATAGCATGCACAAGACAGTCAGCATCCGCGACATAGGACGGCTCTGCGGCGTAGCGCCCTGGCGGCTGCCTCGACTCCCTTTGGCGTGCTCCGGTGAGGCAAAATGACAAAAAAAACCTTCTCCGGCAAGCAGCGGATGATGGCGAGCATCGCTTGGCAGCGTTGCGTCGTCTACGGACTCAGGCGGCTCGACGACGTCCCCGACAACTCCGACGAGATGGCTTGCGACGTGGCTGGAGCTGGTGACGCCTTGCGGGCACCGAGTAGTGACGCTCCGGCCGGCATTCTCCTCGAGCAACTAGCCGATGAGTTCGAAGAAGATGGTAACGTCGACGAGAGCGAGCGGACGTCAGTGATGTAGTGTAGGGGAGGCTGCGACCGGCAAGGCGACGACGTCCAACGTCTCGGTGACATCACATCGCCAGGTAAAGACGTCGTGGGATAGAGGTTGTGGCCGGCGAGGCAAGGACTTCGCGGCAGAGGTAGATGTGTCGCCGGCGACCGACATCTCTGATGAGAGGGAGCGACGCGATCTCCGGCCGGCAGTGCCTCCGACAGACGGAGAGGACGCTATCTCCAGCATGCCGGGCATCACCAGAAACTCGCCTCGTCGCCGTGTTGTGCATGCATGACGATCTGAACAGAAAAGCAGGCAAAACAAAAGAAAGCTAATAAGCTATACCCATGGCAATGGCTGAGTACATGCTCCGGTGATCGTCTCCTTCTCCGCGCGCCTCCTCGCCGGACGCCGAGGCACTGTGGCCAACGTCACCGGCCGCCGAGCGCACGTGTTCCCGCCGGACGCCGAGATTCTCCGGCCAAAATGGTGCGTGTCTCTCTCTCTGTGACTGTCGTGTGTGTGTATTCTGTCTGTGTGTTCCTCCCTTTTTTTCCGTTGTGTGAAATGGCATGGCCTTTTATAGTGAAGAAAGGCGGTTCCAGCCAGTACGTGCATGGCTCGATCAGTGCACGCGTGATCAGCCAATTGCCTAATTTAGCGATTAGCATTTCTTTCCATATGCTCTGTGATTCTTCCAATTAACCGAGATCCTTATTCGGCATGATTCCGTCTGAGTTACACTGGCCGATCTCCTTTCCAATTTGGAATGATACAGAGGGATCATTTTCCTCATATTCGTATATGCGTGCAATCTGTATATGGTGTGGAATTCTCCTGTCAGAGCAATTTCTGGTTTCTAAGCATACGTGCGTGTCCATGGTTTCCATGGAATCATCGATAGGAAATCAACTGCCGGCAAATGACGTGATTATTGCTCTCTAATGATGATTCTACAGTGGCATGCTTCCAAAATCAATCCACCGTCATTTCTTCTTTTCGTCAGTGATATCGTTTATAGCTGTGCTGCCATTTATTCTACCATCTATTCCATGCATATATTTATATATTCTGTCCTGGCTGAAATACATCATTAAAAATATATATATACATATATACACGTGAGTATATATGCACCCGTATATTAATTGGGCAGCACTGCACATGTCATATAACATTCTCATGTACGCCAGATTGTATCATTAGTGATAATTAATCACTAATTTTACTACTGTACTGTTATTCCCGGAATTAATATTTTGACGCACCTCAAAAATAAAAAAAAGGTGTACAAAATATCATCGAACAACTATCGAGGTCTATCAAATTACCCCTAACTTAAATACGAGACGTTTTACATCCTCAACGTTTATTATCAATAAAAATAATTTACAAAAAAATTTATATATGTGTTCTAATTAATTAATGACTTAAAAGCTAATGCTGAATACTAAACTACGATGAAAAAGTAATCAAAATTAACTTTTAGAATTTAAATTTTGGATACGGCTGATAACATGAAGAGCAAACAATGTATAATCAGAATGATTATTACAGGAATGGATGAACATCGTTTTAAGTCGTTGAAAGTAGTGCTTGAATTACTCAAGATTCTGGTTTAGCATCATTAGGGTTATTATTGCACGAAGTGTTGAAAATTGTTTTAAGTCGTTGAATACTTTTACGCAAAATTCAAGTTTAGCATCATTAGGTGACTATAACAGCAATTATTAGTATTCATTCCTGGATGTTTTTTTAAGGTCTTAATATAACAATTCTTATGCTTAACGACATTAATTAAAGAGAAAATCTAAAAAAAATACCATCGACAAACTCCCCAATTAAGAAATGCCATTGATGAACCCAACTTCCTGTAAATGATATTGTACAAATGTTTTTTTTTCCAAAAATTCTATTGTCATTAAGTTTCCATTAGTAACCCTTCGTTAAATGCTATAAAAGACCATTTTACCCCTATGAATTGTTGAAAGTTGATTATAACTTTTGTTCTTTCCATCAATTTCCAATAATTTAGTCTAAAGAGCAACATATAAATTAATGTAAGGTAACGGAAAGTAAAATTTTTAATCAACTTTTCACCAATTCGTAGGGGGTAAAATTATCTTTTTATAGCACTTAACGGAAAACTTATGACGATGGCATTTCTGGGAAGGCACTCGTACGATAGCATTTATAAAAAGTTGGTTTCGTCAATTGCATTTCTTAGATTGGGACGCTTGTCGATGGTATTTTTTGGGATTTTATCTTAATTAAATTACCAACAATTATTCAAAATCCTGCATTTCAATGCACCCCTAGCTAAATCCTATGCTTGACCAAAATTCAATCAAATGATGCCACGATTCGATGAAATCTAGACACCATATAAGGATTACAAGTTTTTTCAAGAAAAAAAAATAAAAGCTTTATTGAACTCAATCAATTACATAATTAAGGAGATACAACTATACTGAAAACACTCAATCTCTACATAACTAAAATGCACACAACCAAAACACGCACACACACACACACTAGTTTTCATCAAACTAACAAGTAGTATATGAAAAGTTAAGGATCACCGATCGGTAAATTAGATCGACATCCAAAGCTTCTAGGTAAAACACTTCTCGACAACCCTCTCCAACTGCTGACATGCCACAGCAAAAAAAAAAAATATTATCCTGGCTTCTGAATAATAGCATACGTACAAATCAGCCTGTTAATAATAAGAGGAATTAATAGCTCGATCGAAAGCTATTAATCGATATAAATCAAATAGAACGACGACATACTCCATATATATGCTATGATCAGTGACAAAGCACATTATATTACGAGGAGAAGACAAGTGCATGACATCCATGTGCCTAACCCTAAGCACAGCCGTCTTTCATGAAGCAATTGCAGCATGCTATGATGCTTCCATATTAATGTAGAGGTTTTTATTTTTTTGTTATATATCAATTTCCTTTTGGCCCATGAAAAAAAAAGGGCTCTTAATTAAAAGCTGCCCATAAAGTGAGCTTTATTATTTCCAAATTGATGTATAGTTGATGTCACCACTGGAGCGATGTCATCTTATTCTTTGTTTGCACCACATGCCTAGTGCTTTGCACAAATTGGGGAAGAAAAAGAAAAGAAAAAAAACTTTGATGTCCCTTTGAACCAAAGATGAGGTTGGGTATCTCTCCACGTGGTTGGAGAATGGAACTTAGTGGAGATTGAACAGATGATGATCTCTGAAAAAGAATCTAGCTAAGCTGTGCTATAGAATGCATGAAGAAGCTATCTGGCTTGGAACTGCAAGTCATGTTTTTATATATAAATATATAAATGAGTGGTGATATGATGATCTAGTGTTTCTAGGATCAAAGGAAAAGTCCTGCCTATCTTATCCTTTTGTACATTCTTTCTTTTCATACTATATATATTATTGTGATGAGCAAGAAAGCACCAGAAGGCGGTGGGTTATGGATCATGCACCGAATGCTGGTATAAATGTTTGTTTTATTATCATGTGTTTTCTTAGAATAAATGTTACTATTCAATTCGAACATAAACAGAGTTAACTAGTAAATTTCTCATAATACATATAATGTGCTAATATATATACTTCCTCCGTTTTATATTATAATACTTTCTAGCATTGCTCATATTCATATATATGTTAATGAATCTAGACATACATGTGTACCTAGATTCATTAACATTTATATAAATATATGCAATGTTAGAAAGTTTTATAACCTGAAACGGAGTGAGTACAATCTTTGTATCGAATTACACACACTAAGATGAGTTTTACGCTTCGAATTCGAGAGGGCGGGAGACCAGGATATAAATTAAGATCGGCAATAGAAAATAAAAAACTCACCATATAATATTAGGATATGCAGTATATATATAGTTTTTGACATACAAATAAACTGATAGGGAAAAGGAAGCGAAACAGTAAAAAAAAAGTGCCCAAAAGTTGTAGTAACAATCACGTCTTCTTATATGTTTTACATTGTTGGGACAACATATACATATGTGTCAATCGACATCCATACAAAAAAAAAGGAAAATCAAAGAAGAAATTTACTTTTTTTCTCTCGTAGTAACTTTTGAAGTTAGAATAAGCTGACTCTAATCTTTGTTCCACGAGTTATCAATCAATATTATAAAATGTATACTCCTGTACGTATGTGTATATATAGCCACAATACAAATTAATGCAAAATTCACTACATCTTCCAAATGTCCTCCAAGCTCCAAAAATTCTCGGAAATGCCCTCAGAAAAGCCCTGAACCCAACCAACAAGATCTGGATCCTGAAACTGGCTATGCTCATGAGGATGAAGTTGCTCTGACTCATAATTACTACAAAACCCTTTATTTGCTCCCTGCATCCAGTAGTCCCCACCATTCACCATCTCATTGTCCTGCACATTTGCATAAAGGCCCCCATCGTATGACTCTGATGTCGCGAACGAGTCCGACGACGACGATGTCATCACTGGCATCCCATGAGCATCGCCCATGGCAGTGGTACTATTATACCCATGGTGATCACCGAGCTGGCTTGCATCGGCGAGGCGAGGCATCCATAGATATCTCATAGCATCCTTGAACCTAGCACTGTTGGCATCGCAGTTCAGCTGCTTGGCATGCTTTTGCACTCGGGTCCTCCAGTAGTTCTTGATCTCGTTGTCGGTCCTCCCTGGCAAATGCTGCGCTATCTTTGACCACCTGCAGATAATCAACACACCCCCAATGGGATCGAAATGTAATTAGAAAAAAATTGATGGTAGGGAACACACAAGAAAAAGAGTACAATATAAGCTAAGTTGTGTGGCACTAGACTAGTGGAGATATATGTAGAGAGAGAGAAAGAGAGAGAGGGAGGGAAGGAAGAGAGACGTGCAGCTTTAAAACCCGTGCAGCTTTCATGCACTCTGTTTATGTGAAAGTGAGAGGCATCTTGGTTGTACATGCTTAGCTAGCCGGCCTAGCTAGAAGCTTTAGCTTGATGTATATATCATTGTATCTATCTTTTTCTCCATATATATGTTTGCAAATCAATTAATTAAAACCAATAATGCATGCATAATAATTAATATTCCTCTGTAGCGATAGAAGACTTGTACAATATGAACTGTGCTAGTATCTTGAACTATTGTGTCATATCTAAAGCTAATATTGTCAAAGTATGTTTTTGTGTGGCATCCAAGTGTGTGTGGCCACATGTATATGTGTACATATTAAATACAGCACGTGACATGCGACGTGTGCACACATACCATGTATGGTCCACAATTGATGGCCATATATATACCATCAAGAGCTAGCTAATGAGCCTACAAATTAAATTACACCTGATATAGTGATTTACATGCCCACAAATAAACTATTTTAATTAATCAATTATAATTACATGCCTCTTTTCCAAGCCTCCTAATTTAATTTCCTCCAATTTATTTGGAGGGTTTTTTTTGTTGTGTCAATCGAACCATAAAAGGTTTCGAATTGGTTCAACAGATCATGTCCTAAACGTCAAATATTTATGAGCGAAGCGGGTAATAATTAACTAGCGAGCGGAATAATGGGTGAGTTAATAATTAATTAATTACCGGTTGCCCCATCGGGAGTGGAGGTCGAGGATGAGCAGCTGCTCGTCGGCGGTGAAGTTGCCGCGCTTCACGTCGGGCCGGAGGTAGTTCAGCCACCGCAGCCTGCAGCTCTTCCCCGTCCTCTTCAACCCTTCATCGATCGATCGATCACAAACATCAAATCGATTTTCATCGATTCCATATATAATTCGAATCAAATCGACATCGAATCGATTGACTACAACTTGATTTGATTAGATTACCGGCGGCGCGGGCGAGGGAGTTCCAGCGTCCCTCGCCGTGGTCGGCGATGTAGTTGACGAGGGTGAGGTCCTCGTCGACGGTCCACGGCCCTCGCCGGAGCTCCAGCTGCAGGTCCGCTGCCGCCGCGGAGGCCTCCTCCTCGGCGGCGGCCTCATCCTGTAGTACCGCCGCTGGCCGCCGCATCATCGTCATCAGCTGATCGGCCGCCGCCTGGTCGTCGACGTCGAGCTGCGCCGCCGTGCTCCTGCTCCTCTGCGATGCTGCCATGGCCGGCGCAACTCAGCTCAGCTCTCAGCTAGGTCGTGTGTTGCAGGAGGAGAGAGAAAGCAGCAAAAGTAGCTAGATGGCTCTAGCTTGGCTTAGCTTAGCTGAGAAGTTGTAGAGAGAGAGAGAGAGAGAAGAGAGATGGATTGGTGGGAGAGCAATGGCAATTGGCAACCGTCATTATATAGTGTTGAGGAGAGAGAGAAAGAGAAAGTTGTGTAGTCTTGAGAGAGAAAGAATGAGCATGTGATAGAAGTGTGTGTGTGAGAGAGAGTCTCCGAGGAGAGAGAGGAAGAGAGAGAGAGAGACAGAAAGAGGATGACATATCACTTAATTATCAGTATCCTTGAGGCCTTTGATCGATCTGTGTGATTACAAAACAAAATTTTGGCCAAAAAGGAACAAACTCATTTTACATATTACTGTTACATTTGATTTAGACCCCCAATTTATATATAGGAGCGATTACTTAACGCTATAAATTTCCGAGACCCAATTAATTAATTCATATCTAAAGGTTTGTTTTTTTTGTTCTTTTCTTAAAGATCTCGAAATAAAATGGGCTCATTCCTTTCGTGAAATTCTACTTGCCACATGTCATATCTTATTATAGTACTATTGTAGTTAACTTATTGTGCACCGATCTACATATTATAAGCAAAATGGTTTATTTACGATTGAAAATAATTGTCAGTAAAACAATTATATATGTTTTATTAATGATTTAAAATTAAATGTTAAAGAATAAACTATGATTAAAAAACCCCAAAATTACCTCTAAAATAAAGTTTTAAAATCCAATTTTTTGCTTCTGCTTATAAGCTGAAGGCTAAACGTTGGGGTGATATAGCTTCCATAATAGCAATATAAAATAAAAGGCTAATAATAATCCATGTTGCATGTGAGCACTGCCCAAACCATTTTGGTTAAGATGTTGCAACCACTCAAAAAGTAGGCTTGCTATGAGTCAATTAACCATTGCCCATGCATGTTAGCAACCAAGCACAAGCCACATCCACTTCTCCCTTCTCTCTCTCTCTCTCTCTCTATTGCAATCTCATCCTTTTGCACATGCTATGCTTAACGATTGCCATGTAACAAAAACATAATCACTTTCATCTCTCTCACATCACACTTCTGTTTCGAACACCTTCTAAGCTTAATTACTTGCTTTTTAGCACATCGATGCATGAGTAGTTCCCACGTGAACAATGCAAGGAGCACTAGCTCTACATATATTGCCACCTTTCAATTCAGTCAGTTACACGACCATGTCAAATGATTTGCTCCATTAGCTGCCTTTCCATCTCTCCCATGACCATTCAGAGAGAGAGAGAGAGATGAATTGGACACAAGGGAAAGCTAGGTTATTGGGGATGCTAGAAATGGCTAGGACAGGCAACAACTTTCATTTCTTTGATGCATGACACACAAGGGAGGCTAGCTAAGAGATGGTAACCACCACATGTGTATTACATTCATCGAGAACAGCTGGTTGCAACAAGAACAAAAAAAACTATGGCCATATGCTTTCTATTCCTGTTGATTGTAATTTCTTAATTTTATCGATACGGGCCAGTAGCTATTAACGATCGTTTTCTAAAGAGGGGATGAGAGAGAGAATAATGAAAATAGAGGAGAAGAGGATGACCTTCTGTTTAACCACCGTCCGAAACCACATAACATATATTTTTTTAACGTGTAAAAGCCTTGCGCATCGATATATTAGCAGGAAAAAGGAGATTTTACAGCTACAACCTACTAACGCAGATCATAGAGGGTTAGAGGGAAGAGGGAGGGCACACTAGATGAACTAAGGAAGAAACCAAACTCTTGACAACAACGAGGAAATGAGAAAAAAGCTAGTGACTAAGTGCCAATAAGATTGTCCAGAACCACGTAATTAAAGAGGTTATTTTAAATGGTTCTATATATAGTAGTTAGCAAGTTATTATGGTTTGATGATATTTTAAGGTTAAATTGGCTAACCTTGCCTATCAGCAGTTGGATCATATGGTTAGAGAGTATTTTACCCAAAAAATATGGGACGATCTTAGTCCGCGGATCGATGATTCTTAGCACTTATTCGTAGCCAGTTAAAACTTTTGGATATGAGTGTTATTTGGATTATGTGCATCTTAACTAGCTATATACATACGCCGAAAGTGATCTCGAGAGTATCAACTTGATGTAATTATCCTGATTCTAATAAAAATTTTCTTTATCTTTTTTTTCTGAGAAAATTTGACTAGTGTATGTAGTTCATTTTTGGCCCAAGACTTAAACTCGAGGGAAACTACATGCAAGAGGAGACAAAAATACAAAACATTTTTTGTGGATACACCACCTATTTTATTGCAGGCGTGCTAAAAGAACGTTAGCATGTAGAAAGATATTTGGACGTTGTTCGGTTAAGATCCACATGGAAAATTGATTTTCACATGCGGCCCTCTTAAGAGGCCCGCTTGGTACAAGACCCGCCCCCTCCCTCTCTTATCTCTTAAAAAAATCTTCTTACTCAGTCACTCCTCTCCCCTCTCCTCCTGTATCCTCTCCTCTCCTCTCCCCCTCCTCCAGCGCCCCCTATTCTCACCCCTCCCCCTCTCCTCTTCTCACCCAAGGCCGACAGGAGCGGTAGGGATTAGGGTGACGATGGCAGGTGGATCTGGCGCCAGCGGACGGGGCAACGACGGTGATGGCTCCTCCACCGCTCCTTCTCCCTCTCTCTTACTTTCTCCTCCGCTCCTCATCCTTATTCTCTCTCTCTCTCTCTCTCACTCGCTCTGTAGGTAGCGGAGGTGCACGAGGAGGCCAACGGATTGTAGCAATGATGATGGCGAATCCAGTGGCGCGCGAGGAGGCCGATGGACAGCAACGACGATAGCGGCAAATCCAGCGGCGCGCGAGGAGGCCGGCGGAGGAGGCGTTCATCGACAGCGACAATGGCGTCGCCTCCTCGGGGCGTCTCCACCGCGTTGAGAGCGGCCAACCCCCCTCGCGGATCGAGCATTGCCGACCTTCTCCCTCGCGGATCTCACGGCGGCGGCGGCCTTATTATCCCTCGCGGATACAGCAGCGGCGGCCTTCTTCCTCATGGATTTGGTGCCACTGGCCCTAATCCATCGACGGCGGCGGCCTCGGGAGGGGCTGATCCGCTGCAGCGGCAGCGGACTGCATCAACGGCGACGATGGCTAGCGTAGATTTGAGCTCAACTTTCTGATTTTTTTTCTTTATTTGTGACTTTCGTTTTTGCAAGCCAACAGCTTAACTGACTGTGTGCTAAAATCACTTTTTGCATGCGGTTGTGTTGCCCTTCTGCAAAAATCACTTCTAGCCGCATGTAAAAATGTTTTCTGTAGTAGTGACACTCTATTGATTCCTTATTACTATCTCAAGCTGTTTTTATGGGGGCGGTTCGTTGATTGTGAATTCAACATAAATATATAATTGTATTTTCAGTGTTGAGTGGCTATATATATAAAATATATTAATTGGATCCAAAATTAAGCTACCAAAAAGGTTTTTTTTTCCAATAGCATGAGTAATGATCAGCTGAATAGGCTTGCATTGCTTTTGATTACATATCCGAGATATTCAACTAGGAGGGAGGAGCTAGCATGATCATGTGCGAAGAAGTGTGCAACAAAAAAATATATATATATAGGCATAAAATTCAATGCAAGTCACATCACAAGAGTATAATGCTCTCTCATCTTTTTAGTTATGGGAAGGCATGTGTTATTGCTTATTGCTTCACCCACATCCAATTAAATGATCCAATTTAAGGTTGCATCCCCCTCTGCTTTCTCTGATCTACCCAAAATATGCTTTCTACAATCTACATGCACAAATCGATTGAGTACACATCAAAATGCAGCTAGCTGGCTAGAGGCAATGATTCCATTGTGATCATCCATCTATATATCCATCCAAATTAATGTACAACTGGGATATATGGATCTATTACAATTATGGATTGCACAAATGCACATATAGCTGCAGCAACCAACAAACTACTTGCACATCGGTGAGTCTTTATACGTACTATTTTCATACACAACCTCTACACCCACAATATATATATATATATATATATATATATATATATATATATATATATATATAATGTATGTGTTTGATTTAGATTGTGGAGGACATGGTGGATTACTCTTATTTTACGACAATTATTTATAGGTACAAAAAATAAATTAAATACTAACAAAAGTAAAAAATAGATCTTAAAAAGTATTCCAAGAAATTTCTATATAGATTTTTTTTAAAAAAAAAGTGTGTACCATTTAGCAGCTTAAGAAGCATGCTCGTGATAATCTAATAACTGGGTGCATGCACTTTCCTGTAGTCAATATATAGTACATGATCATAACTTATTGTACGCACTTTAGAGACTCTAACATGCATGTGCCAAAGTAAAACTTAAATTTTACTAGTACCCTACTACAAAACATCAAATAGATGTCGACACAATAGGTGTCGGTATTGTGTCGGAAGTGCTAAAACCAATACCTATAAGCCTTTTTCCACTTCCTCGGGTTGAAATCGCAAAAAAGACACCTTTAAGCAGTTATAGGTGCCGGTTCTAAATAAGAACCACCTCCTATTCTATAGGTGCTTAAAAAACCGGCACCTATAATATATCATAGGTGCCGGTTTTTAAAAAAACCGACACCCACAAAAATCAAGCCGAGCCGGAGCCAAGCCGGCAGGCCCTACCACGACTAGCAGATAAGGTTGGTCTCGCGTTTCTCTCTCTCTCTCTCGTCTCCTCCCTTCTCTCTCGCTCTCTTCTCCTCCTCTCCAACTCCCAGTCTCCTACCTCTCTCTCTCTCTGAGGCGGCGGTGGGCTAGCTGCGGGGAGGCGTTGGCCGGTGGCAGGCTCGCGGAGGGTCGCCGGCAGGAGGCGATGTTCTAGCCACGGGGAGGAGTCCTCCCCTCCACCAGATCTGGCGGGAGGGGAGACGGCAGCAAGGGCGGCGGGCTCGCCGGGGGTAGGTGGCGGCAGGCTCGAGGAGGGGAGGCGGCGGAGGGCTCGCCGGTGGGAGGCAGTGATCTGCCGCGGGAAGGAGCCCTCCCTTCCGCCAGATCTGGCGGGAGGGGAGGCGGCGGCAGGGGTGGTGGCTCGCCGGGGGTAGCTGGCGGTAGGCGGC